CATCTCAAAAATAAATAAATAAAACTATATTAAAAAAAAAAAAGAAGAAAGCAGAAAACTGTGGTCCCAGGATGAAATGTTCAAATAGCATCTACAAATCTTGTGATCATATACTAAAACTCTTAGTGTGCTGTCTACTGGTCTTGTGGTCAGTGCATGTTGGAAGTTACCTGTTGTCATATTTTGCTTTTGGAGGTCACTCAGACTCCACTTATACTTTCATGTTTTTAATTCTTCCTGGGAATTAGGTATAGAGGGGTAGACTTTTGAATGATTATGATATTCAGTCTCAAAAATGAATGGTTGGGGGGTGGCGCCTATGGCTCAAAGGAGTAGAGCACCAGCCTCATATACTGGAGGTGGAGGTTCAAATCCGGCCCTGGCCAAAAACTGCAAAAAAAAAAGGTTGGGCAAGGCCATGTGATGTGTTTCTGGAACATTGTCCTTACACTTAACAGCTGGAAGAGCAGGGTCTTCAGCCCCCTCCAGGGCTACGTTGGCACCCCTAATGCTCACATTGGTTATTAAATTAGAGTTTGAGGCCTCTAAACATTCTTCATACTGTTTGAAGAAGCTACAATTAACATCTCCCAAGCAGCTCAGCAGAACTTGGTTGCTAGGCAGCAGACCTTTAAAGACAATTTGTCGATTTCTGCCAAAAGAGAAAAAAGTAGTAAACATTCACATTGCAAGAAAATTGCTTGTTTTCCAGCTTCCAACTTTCTTGCCACAGCAAGCCTTTTTGTTCATCAGTATCCATTCTAAGGGCACTATTTAGAGGAATGATTAAGCCTTTTTCAAGGCTAACCCCTGGCAATTTGAAACAAAAAGATGTTTAGGTTACCATCAGGCTGCCATATTTATGGACAGTTTTTTTGTTTGTTTGTTACTTTATCACCCTCAGTAGAGTGCTGTGGCATCACAGCTCATGGCAACCTCCAACTCCTGGGCTTAGGCAATTCTCTTGCCTCAGCCTCCTGAGTAGCTGGGACTACAGGCATCTGCCACAATGCCCAACTACTTTTTGTTGCAGTTTGGCCAGGGCTGGGTTTGAACCCACCACCCTTGGTATATGGGGCCAGCGCTTTACCCACTAAGCCACAGGATCTGCATGGACAGGTTTTATATAACTGTACAGAGGCTCCTTTGGAAGGTATATAGTATCCCACTGCCCAGCTATAGCTTTGGACAGCAAACAAAGAAGGTGGCAGTTGGTCCATAGATGGGTTGTTAGTCATCCAACATTTGTTAGTACCTAGCATGTGCCAGGCCCTGCTTGCTTCGCTGGGTTGGACAGACCTCATGGAGCTCACCTTCTAATGAAGAAGCCATGGCAAGAGACTGGGATATTCTGATACAGAGGCTAGAGCTCAGCCTGGGATGAGGGAAGGCTTCTCAGAGCAGATGTGGGGTGGACCAAGACCTGGAGGATGAAGTGTGCCAGCCTCACGTAGGTAAGGGAGGAGTATTCCAGACAGGGTGCAAATGGTAAGAAGTGCTTGGGAAACTACAGGTGCAGCCATGTGGTCATAGGGCCTTCCTGGCTCTGCATTTCAGTGTGAGTATAGTGGGAGGACAATGGAGAGCCACTGAGGGGTATGGAGCTTGCAAAGGCCACAGTCAGATTTGCATATTCTAACTCTTGGGGAAGCCACCTGATTTGACTCCATGTTAACTCCAGGGCATTGGGCAGTAAGCAAATGGTCCAAAGGAGCTGGGAGGCTGCGGGAAGTGCAAAGTGGCTTGAGAGTCATCTTGGCCTGGGTTCCTTTGTTACTTCCAACATGTAGACCTCCGGTAGGTTATTTAACCCAAATCCCAGGCTTCTCAACTGTAAAATAGGGAAGATAGTAGTACTACCTCACAGAGTTGGCATAGGAGCTAATAATATAGACTAATTATAATATACTAATTTAGGAGAAGCCCTGAGACTGTTAGTGTGTAGTGCACTCTGCGTGTTTCCTGATACCACATGACAATGCTGCCCTCTTTGTGCTTCCGTGATTCCTCCTGGAAGGGCCATTAGTGTCCAGTCTGCTGTCTGCTCGCTGAGTGACCTAACTCTAACTCAGGATGAAACTTGGAACTCTCTTGGAACCAGAACACTCTTCAGTCTTCCCTTACTGCAGTGGGAAGGACTTCTTAAGTAAAGCCCAGGACCACTTCCTGCTCTGAGCTCTGAGTGCCAGCCTGGTCCTACCTAGGTCAAGGCTGTTCTCCCCAGCTGGTATGGCATTCCAACTGTGGCAGGGACTACATTCTTAGGCTTCAAGCCTGTTAGAATGGAGACTGCCTGGTGCTCAGCGGTCCCTGTGGTTGGGGATTTCAGCCTCTAGGTGTATCTAAGAGGTATCTCACTCTGTTCATGGGTTCAGAAAACTTGTAGGAGCCAGCTAGGGACTTCAGACTCATCAGATAATTCCCCAAGGAATTATCTCTTATATTCAATGCCGGGCACTGAGAATATAGCCCGCAGTAGGACAGGTATGGCTAGGGAGAGAAAAAAGCAACTGAGTCAACTGGATGCTTTGCCAGGAGTGTAAATACATGGAAGGAAGGCTGGGATGGCGAGTGGCTCAGAGTGGCAGTTAGCACTGCCCGAGTTAGTGATTAGGCTGAAATAGGCTGGAATCCCCAAGGGGGTGACAGATTGCAGCTCCCTCCATGGGTCCGTAGAGTGCACCCAATGACACTGATCTCTTGTAGGTTTGATTTCTGGGGCAGGATGATGGCTTGTCCCAGGTGGCCGACTCCCTGAGGCATTAGAGCAACAGAGCTTGGGACATTGCATCACTTGGCTTGCTTGGATTGGGAGAACTTTGAGGCAGTCGTGAATCATTTTGGGGTCAGTTCACCCTGCTGGGGACCATAGAGATATAGGCCCAGCCCTGCTGGCCATGGCAGAGTCTCTGGAGGCCTCTGCTGGGAGCAGAGCCAAAAAGGGGGGCTGCTGAAGAGCCTGCTCAAAAACCACCCAGTGCCTGAATGTAGGCTCTTGCATTAGCTTTGTTACTACTTGCTAATAAGATATGCAAATTATCAGGGCTGTGAAATCTTAGCCACATTCCATCTTCTGTTTAATTAGCATTTAATTGTAATCTGATTTTAATTTTTTCACACTGGCACCCTAATTAAATGTTAGGGTGTTAGTCCTAACAATTAAATTATATCGGCAAATAGAGTCTTCAAGAAACCTGACCTTTTTTAAGCCAGAGCCATCTCTAGCTAGATGCAGATGTTAATTAGATTCTGCAAGATGCTGCTTCCCGGCCTCTCAGTACACCCATTTCAAATGTGTTTTCCTTGTGGTTATAGACCTAGATTCAAATGAAGCACACAGAGTTAGTGATCAGGCCCCCAGCAGGCAGAGGTTACCACTGAATGGGTTTGTAAGTGAGCTGACTTGGCCTCAGCATAGCACTGCATGCTGAGTTCTCCTGGGAGGGATAGGTTTGGAGTTTGTTCGAGGCTGAAGTACTTCTTGAAGTGGTTTCTCTTGTGTCCATGTGAGCTTTTTAGTTCAGGATTCTCAAGTGATGATCACTAAGAAAGTTGGTACCTGAGTGAGTCACATCGTGTCTAGAGGTGCCATCACATTCCACAGCAGTGCTTTGTCACAGTGAGATCAGACAGCTGGGGAGGAGACCTTGCCAGTGCTGGCTGGGGCAGGGTTTAGAGAGTGCTGTGGCATGGAGATGGGGGGAGTAGACAGAACTTGAGGAAGAGCAGTTTGCCCCTGAGTGAGCAGGTGCTCAGAAGAAAACCAAAAGCATCAGGGTGTGACCACTTATGGCCTGGCTCTGAGAGATTTGGATGGGCTTGATAAAAAAGGAAGAAAACCCTGTCCTTCCTACCTCATCACACACAGAGTGTTAACGTAGAGCTCCCTGGGCCTGCATGATGGCTCCTGCCTGTAATCCTGGCCCTCTGGGAGGCCAAGGTGGTGGATCGCTTGAGCTCAGGAGTTTGAGAGCAGCCTGAGCGAGAGAAAGATTACATCTTTACTAAAAATAGAAAAACTGGCTTGGCGCCCATGGCTCAGTGGTTAAGGCTCTGGCCACATACACGGAGGCTGGCGGTGCTTGTAGTCACAGCTTGTAGTCATAGCTACTCGGGAGGCTGAGACAAGAGAATCACTTAAAGCCCAAGAATTTGAAGATGCTGTGAGCTATGATGCTACGGCACTCTACCAAGGGCAACAGTGAGACTCTGTCTCAATAAAAAAAAAAAAAACAGAAAAACTAACCGGGCGTGTTGGCACACGTCTGTAGTCCCAGCTACTGGGAGGCTAAGACAGGAGGATTGCTTGAGCCCAGCAGTTTGAGGTTGCTGTGAGCATTAAATGCCAAGGCACTCTACCTAGGGCAACAGAGTGAGACTCTTGTCTCAAAAAAAAAGTAGAGGTCTGTACCAGGTAGAACACGTAGTATCTTTGTTTTTGAGGGACCATGGAGGTCCTGGCTCAGGCCAAACCACTCTGGAGGCTACTCCAACCCCAGCACCCCTTGGCTATTTGTGTGAGGTCCTGGCCTTTTGTTTTCCTGGGGTTGGTCCCCTATACTTATACCTTTACTTATGCTTGTGGGCGCAAATAGATAACATGATTGTAAGCCTCCAGTGGAAATTCCCTGAATAGTCATATAATAACAGTTTTGCTTTCATAGAACTTAGCCTCTAAGTTTTTCCTTTTTTTTTTTTTTTTTGTGCTCTTCTCTGCAAGTCTTTCTCCTCCTCTCTGAGTTCCACTCTCACCTGTCACTCAAACTCCATTCTTTAATAAATTACAACAATGGGAATTCACTTCGCACATTTATGAGACAACTACTTGTGCAAAGCATTTGCTGGGTTCTGAGGTGTGTTGCTTATTACAGTTACCACTTCGTGCTGTCTTCTTATTTATAAGTGAGTAAGCAGGCAGCCCACTTGAGTTGCATTCATTTTCCTCTTCCCTGGCTTGTGAGGCAGTCTGAATCCATTTTCTCCTTTCTTTCTCCTGATAGGTTTTCCGGACAGACTTGATCACTGCCATGAAGATCCCCGACTCATACCAGCTCAGCCCAGATGACTACTACATCCTGGCAGACCCATGGCGACAGGAATGGGAGAAAGGTGTACAGGTGCCTGCCGGGGCAGAGGCCATTCCAGAGCCCGTGGTGAGGTGAGCGATTGGGGCAGGGGAAAAGGGGGAGGCTGCTGTGTAGGTAAGGGACCTACCAATCCTGGGATTCTTTTCTACCCCATCTCTATTCTGTATTCTATTCTCTTATCTGATGATGGAATATTTGAAATATTCCAAAAATACTGTCAGTTTACTTGAGGGGCGAAGGGCTTGGGCTTGACCTTGGCTCTGGGAGCCACAGTGCTTGGGTTCATATTGCCACTCACATTCAGTGTGACCTTGCATGAGAATTATAATGTGTCTGGGCCTTAGTTTTCTTATCTGTGACTGATAATAATAACTAATCTACCTCACGCAGTTGTAGTATTGGGATGATGTATTAAGTGATCCATGGAAGGCATTTGGCAGGGGCCTAGCACCCTGCAAGCACTATAAAACTGGCCGTGGTTTGATATTGATCCCAATTGGGTCCCCTAGTGGATCTGATCATGGAGATCTCCAGCCTTTTTAACTAGCCTAAAGACAGGGGTAAGCCATGCTCTTGACCTTCTGAACGTTTTGGAAGAGTTCTTCTAGGGGCCAGTCAAGTGCCTGGCAAAGAGTAGATGCCCAGGAAGCAATTGCTGTTACCAGCCTCTGGAGAGGCTCTTCTGCCAGGCCAAGTCAGAGATGAGTCCTCTATAGGCTTTGTAGCCTGCTGATCTTACCGGGCAGAGAGACCACTGACTGCCCTTGTTAGGAGGTAGCCGCATAGCCAGGGGTCTTGCCTCCGGCTACAGAGTTTAGCCAAGTACTTTTTTATGTACCCTGGGAAACCCTCCAAGTTATGTCTTAGTACAGAGGGGTCTTGTGTCCTGACTTCCCCCCTGACCAGCCTGCCTAGTCTAGGCAGCTTATTTTATTGGCAATCCACTCCCAGACTTGGCAGCTTATGCCTGAGCCCATGTAGATCGGGCCTAGGGCAAAGATCATAGCTGTCACCTCCCTTGACATTGGAACTGTCCCCTCCTGGCAGCTGCACCTGTGACTGGTGCTCTATGGGAACTGGATATTGTGGTAGGCCAGTCCTTCTCCAGTGACTCTTGAGAGCTGAGTGTCTACCAGCACTTACTGGCACTCTGAGGCCCTCTGAGAATAGGGAAGTTCCAGGCTTCTCCAGAAGGCTTGGGGAGGTCTGTTTTGAGATAAGGCAGAATTTAGAGCATGAATTTATTCTATGCATCCCTTGCCCAGCCTCCTAGCCAGTTTCACACCTTCTCTTCTGCACACTAAAGAACTGTTACTTGACCTCTGTGAGCCTGTTGCATTCTCTGTAAAATGGGGATAATACCAGTATGCCTGATGGTGTGTGGTGAGGATTAAGTGAGAATAGGCATGTCCAGTCACCGCCCCATGTGTGAGGGCCCCAGGCACCAGGGGACAGGGCAGGCCACCAGCTGGACAGAGTGAGGTGAGTCCTGATTGATTAGGCTTGGCCCAGCAGTCTGTCCTTTCTACTTGCTGTCAGTGTCAGGTGGTTCCAGAAACATCCACTGGCCTGGGTAATTAATTGCAGATGGTTCCACACCAGTAGTTTGGCTTCAGTCTGCCTGTAGGGTGCTTTATCTGTTGACATCAAGGGGAGAGCACGTGTTCAGACTGCTTTGGCTTTATTAGGTGCATTCCCAGCATACCCACAGCTGCGCTAAACTGACATGAGCCAGGCACCCCTGCCCTGTCCATGTGCTTTGGAGAAGATAGGCTGAGGGCGGGAAAGGGTACTCTCCCTTTCAGATCAGCACATTTCTTTTTCCCCTGTGTCCAGCCTGGCTCCTCCTTCCTGTGTACCTCCTACTGTGTACAGCCATCATCATGGAAGCCTGCACAGCTACCATCAGCATCAGAATCATTAGAGGAACCCAGTTTCTGAGTACTTGCTGTGCTGAGCCTGGGATGTTCATCTCTCACTTGATCATATTCACCTTATAAAGTACTCACTACTGTCCCCATTTTATAGATGAGGAAGTTGGGAAATTCTGGGGAATTCCCTGCATAGCCACCAGGGTGTAGTGGGCTAGGCCAGGAAATCACAGGTCATAGGAACAAGCCTTGGGTTGCCCCCGCTAGGCCCCAAGAGAGAGCCTTGTGCCCCAATTACCCTGGCATGCTGACCCTGACTGTCCTCCCCCAACTGCTGCCTGGAAGTTCCTTCCATCCCTGGCCATTGGGCAGGTCTTGGTCTGAAATTTCTCTGAGTAATGGGAAACCGTTCATTCCCTGGACTGAGAACTGAATGAGAACCTTAGTGTGGCCAGAAGTCTGGGCCCAGGGCACAACCAACCTCTGGCATCTGGTCATCTGGGATAGAGCCCTTCCCCTCCCATAGATATCAGCCTAGCTGTCTTCCTCCTTCCAGCTGACCTCTGTCCTGCTGGTTGTGGCTGTGGGTTAGGCAGTGGCCAGGGGTCAGGTCACACCATGCCTGGTAGGAAAGCTTCACTGCATAGCCAGAGCCAGAAGACAGCAAACAGGTGAAGATGAGAATCCTAGGAAGCACGGAAAATGCCTTTTCTGGTGTGAATCCCTTAAGCCCTGCTCCCCAGAGAGGAGACAGTGATCTTATTGGCCCCAAGGGGCTGGGCCAGGTGGCAGCTAACTAGGCAAGCAGGTGTGGGCAGTTATGCCAGTAGGTGGTGGGCATTCCAACAAAGGTTGTTCAAAAGCCCCACTTAGTATGTGTTAGGGAACAAGTGAAGCGTGTTCACAACAAAATTCTAGACTGTATTTTTTTTTTTTTAGACAGAGTCTCACTTTGTCACCCTCAGTAGAGTGCTGTGGCATCACAGCTCACAACAACCTCAAGCTCTTGGGCTTAGGCGATTCTCTTGCCTCAGCCTCCTGAGTAGCTGGGACTTTAGGCGCCCACCACAACACAGGGTTATTTTTTGTTGCATTTTGGCCAGGGCCTGGTTTGAACCTGCTACCCTCGGTATATGGGGCCAGCACCCTACTCATGAGCCACAGGCACTGCCCTAGATTGTATTTTTTTTTTTAAGAATTTAATTTATATCCTCAATGAGTCCTCAACAATAAAAAAAAAAAAAAAAAGAATTTAATTCAGTCTTGGCGCCTGTAGCTCAGCAGCTAGGGCACCGACCACATACACTGGGGCTAGTGGATCCAGACCTGGCCCAGGCCTGCTAAAAAAAAAACAATGACAACTACAACAAAAAAATAGACAGGTATTGTGAGACTCTGTCTCCAAAAAAAAAAAAATTGCTCTGACATAGTGAGACTCTATCTCCAAAAAAAGAATTTAATTCAAATAACAGTTTCATGGGCAAAGGCAGAATTTTGTTACCAAGAATTTTAGTATTGCCTCTATTTGGAATCACCTACTGGTATGGGAATCCGTCATTATCATTACCTGAGACCACCCTTAATATGGGTCTCGTGTGAGATAAGGTGGTCCCAAACCATTTCCCTTTCTCCCTGCCTGTTGGCTGGAGCTAGGCCTGAAGGCCGTTCTCTCGCATGCCTTGGGCCCCTGCCTCCCCATCTCCTTGATTTTTCCTGCCTCTCTTGCTGATACCTGGGGAGCCCAAGATCCCTATCTGAGCTCAGCCATGTCTCTGTGCCATCTAGGGCCCTTCCCTGTTTTCCCGGTCACTGCTGAGTCACAGCCCTGGCAGTCCTGCCTCTGACCCCAAGAGGCCTCTCAGGGTCAGAGGTAAGGGGCCTCAGCCCTGGCAGGCTAACCAGAGGAGGCAGGCTCTGAAGCAGTAACCAGTGGAGGGTAGGAAGAGCTGGCATTTTGAACTGGCATCAGGAGCTGAGGCCCAGGACAGTTGAGCCAAGGCAGAATGCTTCCTGTATTCCATTCCAGGAGAAAGGTGATATCCAGAGGTTTCAAAATACACACAGGCACATGCACACAATGGTTACTCTGCGTGGGTACTTTTCTGAGAGTTTTACAAGCATCAGTCCTTTTAATCCTCTCACCAGCTATACAAGATAGGTATCTTTATTAGCCCATTTTAGAGGGAATGACACTGGGGCACAGAGAAGTAAAGTGGCTTACCCAGAGTCTCACATTAAGTGTTGGAACTGTGCTTTGAATCCATGTCTTGTAGCCAAGGACCTTCTAAGCTGTCTCAGAGGCAGAGCCGTGGCCCTGAGGGAGGGCTGAGCTGACTGTGATCCTGGGATTGTGATAGGCCCATCTTTATGTCCTAAGGATTTGTCCTCCCATCTTGGTTGGAGGGGCAGATAATACCATAGCACTGACCTTGTAACAGTATCTGGGAGAAGGACAAGGTCTATGGGCAACACTGTGTCCTTGTGGCAGTAGAACTTTTGTCTATAAAGGGTCACCCTGGGTTGCAGCAATGTAACCTGGTAGGGCTCCTCCTGACCCCAGGGGAGACAGGGTCTTAGTTTTTCCTCACGGCCATGGGGTTTTCAGGTTGTTGGTGAAGGGCGGGGCACCAGGACTTGTGAAGGTATGTGGACAATCCTTGACGTCTCCCCAGCCTTGAAGGGTATGCAGAAGGACCTAGAGTTCAGCTGGCCCCATTCCACTTGTCCCAAAGTTGCTGGCACAGGGCAGCACTAGTGGATACCTCCTACAAGCCCAGGCAGGGCAAATCTAGACCATGGGGCTTTAGCAAAGGCCCAGCGACCATAGTGAGAGGATAGTAGCAGTGTGCTCTGGGCAGGGTAGATTTACAGGGTGAGCAAGGGCTATGCATCAGCTCCTATACCCATTCTCCACCCTGCCCTTTGGGTCTTTAGAATTCAGACATTTTACCTACAGTCATCTGAATCTTTGGTGGGTGGACAGATGATGGAGGAGGCAGGAAGGGGGTGGTGGAAGGAGGTGTGCCACGCTTGGCATCAGAGTCTCATACTTCACATTTGCCCACCAGCTCCTGAGCTGGGCTGGCCAACTCACTAGAGCCCCTCTCTGGGGAGGCTAAGGGCCCTTCTCTTCATGACACCTCCTCTTGATTTTCCAGGATCCTCCCGCCGTTGGAAGGTCCCCCTACCCAGATGTCCCTGAGCAACTCTGCACTTGGCGAGGGCTCCCAGCCTGATTGGCCAGGGGGTAGCCGCTATGACCTGGATGAGATTGATGCCAACTGGCTGGAGCTCATCAACTCAGAGCTCAAGGAGATGGGTAGGTGACCCACTATGCTAAAAATGGGATCAGGCAAGGCAGGGCAGGGTAGATTCTTATAGGAAAGAGGGCTCTCTTCCCACACCAGCATCTTCACCTGCAGAAGGGCCATGGCCAAGACCAGACTTAGGTATTAGGTGGACCTGGAGGAAATGCCCCTGCTGCATCATTGACTGGTGAAGTTACTGCTGTGTCTCTGCCTCCTAAAGTTTCTGCAGCTGTCAGATGGGGGCAGTAATAGCACATGATTTATAAGGACCTTGCTATCTGTGCACACACAAGTGTCCCTGTGGTCACAAGCATACTGTCAGCTTGTTCAGTTTTCAGAGGATGGAGTTGAGGTCCTAGCAGTGGGTGCTTCTCTTCAGGTCACACAGTGGATGAGTGGAAACTCTCCTATACCCCTGCCCTAAATTCCTACAGCCCAGGAGCTGAGGCCTCCTCAGAGCTTCTAATATCTCCTCTGCTGTCCTCCCACAGAGAGGCCAGAGCTGGATGAGCTGACGTTAGAGCGTGTGCTGGAGGAACTGGAGACTCTATGCCATCAGAACATGGCCCGGGCCATCGAGACGCAGGAGGGGCTGGGCATCGAGTATGATGAGGATGTTGTCTGTGATGTGTGCCGCTCTCCTGAGGGCGAGGATGGCAACGAGATGGTCTTCTGTGACAAGTGCAACGTCTGTGTGCACCAGGTGGGCAGACTCTAATCATCCTCACCCACACTGAGAGTGTACATGCTGCCCGGTCGACCCCTGCTTGGAGCTGGTTATCCTGGCTGTAGGAGTAGAGGGGCACTGTGGCCAGAGGCCCTTAGAGAGGCCAAGGGGTAGGAAGGGAATGGTATGAGTGCCCCATGGTGCCAGGGACACCCAGGGCCCCTTGGCTCAGCCCTGCCAGCCAAACTTGAGCACACACCCTTTGTGGGGTCGTTCTGTCCTCCTCTTGTCAGCTTCCCTCAGACTCTGCCCCATGAGCACCCCACTCCATTGTACCTCCTTTTCTGCTACTCACGTCTTGAACAAAGAGGCAGCACAGGGCGGCGCCTGTGGCTTAGTGGGTAGGGTGCCAGCCCCATATACGAGGGTGATGGGTTTGAACCTAGCCCCGGCCAAACTGCAACAAAAAATAGCTGAGCATTGTGGTGGGCGTCTGTAGTCCAAGCTACTTGGGAGGCTGAGGCAAGAGAATCACCTAAGCCCAAGAGTTGGAGGTTGCTGTGAACTGTGATGCCATGGCACTCTACCCAGGGCGATAGAACTACCGAGGGCTACCAAAAAAAAGAGGCAGCATAGTGCAGTGACTGCGAACAAAGCCTAAAGCCAGGCTGCCTGGGTTCAAGTCATGGCTCTCCCTTCACAAGGTGTGTGCCTTTGGACATGTTTCTTAACTTCTGTAGGCCTCTATTTCTCCTAAATAAAGGTGAATTATTGTGGCCAGGCACAGTGGCTCACACCTGTTATCTTAGCACTCTGGGAGGCAATGGCAGGAGGATTGTTTGAGCTCAGGGGTTCGAGACCAGCCTGAACAAGAGTGAGACCCCATCTCTACTAAAATTAGGAAAAAATTAGCTGGGTGTTGTGGTGAGTGCCTGTAGTCCCAGCTACTCGGGATGCTGAGGCAGGTAGGTGTATTGTTTAAACCCCGGAATTTGAGCTTGCTGTGAACTATAAGCTGATGCCATGGCACTCTAGCTTGGGCAATAGAGTGAGTCTCTGTCTCCATTGAAAAAAGAAAAAGAAAAAAAGAAGTGAATTATTGACCAGGCACAGTGGCTCATGCCTATAATCCTAGCACTCTGGGAGGCCAAGGTGGGTGGATTGCCTAAATTCACAGGGTTTGAGACCAGCTTGAGCAAGTGTTAGACCCCCATCTCTTAAAAAAAATAGCCGGGCATTGTGGCAGGCACCTATAGTCCCAACTACTAGGAGGCTGAGACAAGAGAATTGCTTGAGCTCAAATGTTTGAGGTCACTGTGAGTTATTATGATTCCATGGCACTCTACTGAGGGGGACAAAGTGAGACACTATCTCAAAAAAAAAAAAAAAAGAAGAAGTGAATTGTTATAAGGATTAAATTTATTGTTATGAGGATTAAATTGTTCACTAGGAGCTCTTTGCTTAGAACAGTATAGTAAGGGCTCAATGTAGCATTGTTACCATTACTGGAATTATAAACCAGCTCCAGCCTGGCCAGGCCCTTTCTTGATTAAGGCTCTGGGTCTCATTTGTAATGTACTAACTCTGACCCTGACTTTGTGCCTGTCCTTACCACTGTTACTGGCCTAGCCTCCAGGAGCTCAGAAGCAGAGGCCCCACCAGGCTGGTATTGTAGCCTATTCTTCATACCCAGCAGCTTGTGGGTCCATGTGTCTTTCCCAAGATGACAGCACGACCAGGAGGAGCCCTCTTCACAGATACCGAGTGAAAAAGGTGGAAGCTCTAGGTCTTTGTCCCAGGAAGTATATACCTTATTGTCAATTTGAGGAGCCTCCTAAGGTCCATTGCTGGTTAGGAACCTCTGGCTAAAGTGACTGTCCTCCCAGCAGAGGGTGCATCTGAGCCCTTTCACAGAGGACTGTGAAATGGTGACATTTCAGTTACACAAGCAGGCAAAGAGATTTCTAAAAGCTCTTCCTTGGATTATAACTCTTCAGGAGGTCTTCTTGACAGAGCCCAGAGGTACATAGCAGTGTAGCTGAGGGCTGGGACTACTGGCGGCTGAGTACTGACCAAGCAGACTGGCCAGTGCCCCTGATGTGTAACCACTTGCTGTCTCTCCAGGCATGCTACGGGATCCTCAAGGTACCCACGGGCAGTTGGCTGTGCCGGACGTGTGCCCTGGGTGTCCAGCCAAAGTGCCTGCTCTGCCCCAAGCGAGGAGGAGCCTTGAAGCCCACCAGAAGTGGGACCAAGTGGGTGCACGTCAGCTGCGCCCTGTGGATTCCTGAGGTGTGTAGGCATGGGGATGTGCATGGAGCTCAGGTATCTGAGCACTGGGGATGGAAAGTGATGGGCCCACATGAAAATGATGGTATCTTAGATGACAGGCCAGGGAAGATGGCAGCAGCACACAGGAGACTTTGCCTTTGAACTTGGGCAGAGCTCAGATAGTGATTTCTGTGAGAAAAATGAGTTTATGGGCCACTAGGTGTCAAGAAGGTAGGTCTGAGTTCTGGACAGAAGTCAAGCAGTTGAGTGTAGGGGTTGTGGGGTCCATCTAAACTTAGGCAGTGGTTCCAGCCAGAGTCAAGGTGCATGTTTAAAACAGAGATAAACCACCAACCTAAAAGAAAATCAGGCAGTAAGCCTGATTAAAAGGCGGATAGTGGGCCTGCTGCTATGGCTACCGCTGGGATGGAGGGTGGACCTATGCCTGAGTCCAGGTGGGAGGGCCATTGGCAACAGACTGGGTCTACAGTAAGTGAGTCAGCAGAAGCCCTGAGCTCCCAGGAGGCTATCCATTTTATTTAAAATGTGAAATGCTAAAATTTGCTAGAATTTCAGCACCATGCCTGCTGGGTGCCCTGACCCAGATTGAGGTTAGTGCTGCCTATGCCCAGAAGCAGGCCAGGTGGCCCTGTTTGCACATGGCCATCCCCTTCCTGGGCTCATCTCTGAAGGTCCCTGCTGAAGCCCATATTGCAGATTTTGGTGCTGGTAGTCATTTATATCAGCAGTAGTCAGTTGCTCCTAGATCAGCATCTCAGGCTGGGACTACCTCTGAGCGTGCCCTTGATTGGTCACAGTGGAGATAGAAGCAAGTAGGACCCCGACACGTGGATCTTTGCCTTAGGACCTATGGCGAGGGGGCCCTTTCCCCCTCCTCAGTCATGGGTATGTGCCCTGCCTCTGGCCTTGAGGTGTGGGATGTGCCCAGTAGACTTGGGCACAGTTACTTGCCTGTCCCCATAGCAGGAGCTAAGCAATGGCACATCCATCTGCCCAGGAGATCCCTATACACCCCCAAGAGGAGACTTGAGGCTTTGTCTTAGTGCCCAGAAGAAAATGAGTAAAATAAATACAGGTTATAGCTGGGACTATGAAGACATTATTAACAAAGACCTGAAATGCAGAAAGATGGAGACCTTGCACGTGTTCATGAATACGTGCACACACGCATGTACATTCACACAGTCACAGGTGCACACTCATCAAACCAGCTACACACACCGATAAGCACTATTACATATTCACCCATAGTATAAAATCAGTCACAGATGAGCACAGACTCACCCAGTGGTCCACTTGGGAGTTAGGAGGCTTTTGAGCCATTCTTTTACCAATTGGAGGAAAAACCACAGTATAGGAGGCTTTTGAGCCATTCTTATTTGGTGTCAGGAAGGACTTAGGATTCGGGGCCTCACCACTGGTCTGTCTGCCCATCTGTCCAGTCGGGGCACCTCTGGTGGCAGGCTAGGGACAAGAGGCCTGATTCTGCTCCCTGTGTCCCACCCAGGTCAGCATTGGCTGCCCAGAGAAGATGGAGCCCATCACCAAGATCTCACACATCCCAGCCAGCCGCTGGGCTCTCTCCTGCAGCCTGTGCAAGGAGTGCACGGGCACCTGCATCCAGGTACGTGGCCTGCTTTCCCCCTCTGCTGCCCAGGAGCCAGCTGCAGAGAGAGCTGTGCCCTGGACACCCTCAGAAACAGCAGCTGCCAGCACCCTCCACCTGCCCATCTGCTGGGAGGAGGACACTATTCCATCCCCAGGTTCTCTAAGGATTGGGGAAAGGCCCAGGAAGCTAAGGTTCACTACCCCATGGGAGTGCTGAGACTTGGCTCTCCCTGTGAGCAAGTATCTTTGGGCTTGATAAATGCATTGGCCTCACTGCTGACATTGAACTTAGCTTCTTGTAGAAGGTACGTAGAAGTCAAACTTCTCCAACTAAGATAATCATCTCTCCTAACACAGGACAGGGGCTATACTAATCTATCTACAGCAGTGGTTCCCAAATTCTAGTGTGCCTGAGAATTACCTAGAGGGGGTGTTAAACAGATTGCTGGGCCTGCTTGCCAGAGGTTCTGACTCTAGGTCTGGAGTGGAGCTGTATTTCTAACAAGCTCCCGGTGATGATGCCTCTTGTCCATACTTTGAGGGTAGGAGTTGAGGTCATCCTTTGTCTTGCTCATCTCTCCAGAACAGAATTGTCATTGCAAACATTAGCTGTGCCTTCATCCATTTGTAAGGCTTCAAGGGTTTGTGAGTGCAACTCAAATTGCCACTAATGGTTGGGTGCATGATTGCTGGGACAGTTACCAGTTGCCCACAGCCAACATTCAAGGCTGCCTGGGGAAGAGGAAGAGGAAGGGGTCCCAGTCCAGCCCCTTCTCCCAGAGAACAAAGGGGACTATAGTCCCCATCTTGGATAACACTGTAGGAGTACACAGTTGGTGACCCATCATCAACCTTTCTTTTGATGCCTTCTGATCCCAGAGCCATTTTGCCTGCACAAGTTGTTCCCAGAAGTGTTTCCCTGCTGTCTTCTGATTGTTGACTTCCCCGTGGTGTATGGTGTTACCACTGTAGGTGCCCCAAAGCTCCTCCTTCCTACCTGTCGTATTCCCTCCATCAACACAGAATGTTGGGAGCCCATGCCATTTTATTTAGGGTCTCGCCAGCATTCTGCATTCTCCGTGGAGCCCTGCCTGGGAGAAGCCCCTTTTCCTTTTCCCCTCCCACCAGGGCTCCCTTCATGATGCCTTCCTTTCCTCCCAGTGTTCCATGCCTTCCTGCGTCACAGCGTTTCATGTCACATGCGCCTTTGACCACGGCCTGGAAATGCGGACTATATTAGCAGACAATGATGAAGTCAAATTCAAGTCCTTCTGCCAGGAGCACAGTGATGGGGGCCCACGGGGTGACCCCACATCTGAGCCTGTGGAGTCCAGCCAGGCTGGTGAGGACCTAGAAAAGGTGACCCTCCGCAAGCAGCGGCTACAGCAGCTAGAGGAAGACTTCTACGAGCTGGTGGAGCCAGCCGAGGTGGCCGAGCGTCTGGACTTGGCTGAAGCACTGGTTGATTTCGTCTACCAATACTGGAAGCTGAAGAGGAAAGCCAATGCCAACCAGCCACTGCTGACCCCCAAGACCGACGAGGTGGACAACCTGGCCCAGCAGGAGCAAGACGTCCTCTACCGCCGCCTAAAGCTCTTCACACACCTGCGGCAGGACTTGGAAAGGGTGAGTGTCCTGCCACCTGGCCACCTGCCTGACCAGCAGGCCAGGCCCAGAGGCCTTTGTATGCCACACTCACTCAGACTCAGATTGTGAACTCTGACACAGGGGCTAGTAAAAGGGCTGGGAGCTTCTAGGTCTCTGACGCCATGGGGCTGACTGATACTTTACAGAACAGAGAAGTGTCCAGCTCTTGATTCTCTGAGTTCTTGTCCCAGCCTTATCATAGGCCTGGTGAGGGATGGTGGCCATGCCCAAGTCACTGGGCTAGGGAGCACCAGAGCTGGGGCAAGGACTTGGCCTTTCAACATCTGTTGCCTCTGGCCCCATTTCTGGCAATCTGTGGGCTATGCCTCATCCTAACACATGAGCTTCTGTTTTGAATCTGCAGTAGTGGACAAACTGGGCCTTCCTGAGCTGCCCCCCTCACCTGTGTTGAGAGCCTAGGACATTAAGAGCAAGAATCAGGTGGATTGTGTGGCTCACACCTATAATCCTAGCACTCTGGGAGGCGTCGGTGGGAGGATTGTCTGAAGTCAGGAATTGAAGACCACTGCTGAGTGAGGAAGGGAACTTGCTGAAGCCCGTGAATTTGAGTTTATAGTGATCTATGATGATGCCACTGGACTTTAGCCTGGATGACAGAGAAAGACTGTCTTAAAAATTTTCATGGCTCGACGCCTGTGGCTCAAGTGGCTAAGGCGCCAGCCACATACACCTAAGGTGGCGGGTTCGAATCAA